CTTTCCCCCACTCCTTTGGGAGCATAATTAAGCCTTTTAGGTGTCATCAAGTAAAACGATAAAGTATTATAGCTAGAAAAGGTTTTACTGTTAATATTACAAATGTTTTCACTACAAGTTTGTTGACCATAAAGTACTAAAAAACTTTAACTAGTTTTCCATTGCTTCTACTTCTTCAGTTAATACTCTCAACTTTAATCGAAAGGGTGCAGAGGAAAGGCTAGAGGAAAAAAATCATACTATAGATCTCAGTCCTCCTCCTCTCCACCATATGGCCATGAAGGGTATATTTTAGAAGCAAGGCACCAGTTGCAATATTTCTACATATTTGTTTATCTTTATTAAATTTCACATCTGTAAAGACAGGCTTGTGCAACCTCTCTGACTTTTTGCGAATACTTTAATGTCTAAATCTTCCTTTGTCCTCAGGATTCAAAAATTTCCTCTATGGAGCGTGGGCTCCGAGACTTGGAAGAGGAGATTCAGATGCTGAAATCGAACGGGGCTTTGAGTACTGAAGAACGAGAGGAAGAAATGAAGCAAATGGAGGTCTATCGGAGCCATTCTAAATTTATGAAAAACAAGGTAATGTTGTGTGATACTGTAATTTTTAAATGGGGTTTGAAAAATTGATGCGTGTTCCTGCTTCTTTAGTGATGATGGAATTCATGCTGTTTTATCAGGCTTCAGGGAAGAACACTTGTACCGTAATTCTTTCAGATAGAACTTTCCAGAATTAAAGTCAGAATTACTGATGTTGTATAGTTATTTCAAATTTCACTTGAAAGGAAATTACTTGTATGAGGCTAAGTGTGTGTTATCACGGCTTAACATTTCATGTCTACCAGTACTGCTGAGGCGATTAGTAGGATCACATCCAGATGAGTTTTTCTCACTATATGAAACATCATGTTCTCGATGTCTTGTGAACAAATTTAGAAGTGGAATTCAGCCTAAGAGACTGAGTCCACCTCCCCTTCTTTTTCCTGAAATGGCTTAAATAAAACCGTGTTTTCCCTTCAAACACAGTTCCCTAAAGGAAACCCCTTTGTGCTCTCCCTTGGAGAAGACCCATGTGTATCAGGTTTATTGTTTCCCACGTGCACTTGGGGTGTATGTACAGTAGGATAAGCATTGCTGAGACATATCAGTCTGTATTATAACCTCAGTCACAGTATTCCTTCCTTAGAGCCAAAGGCATTTATTTTGATTCTATAAACTATTTTAGGCAAATTGGAGGATTTAGTTTATTACAGTTATCAGTTTATCAGGTCTGTGGTGTTTTAAAGATCATAATTTCAATTGTAAAATATTAGCTAGAAAATAAGTGTTCCTTCCCCTCCCCCTGCCCCCCATATCCCAATTGTGTTAGTTCCCTAATTTCTCAGAAGTGAAAACTGTTCCTTTAATGATGCAGTTTCTGGCTTCCTTCTGTGATACCCATACCTGCATATAAGTCAGCAGAATATTCCTCTGTTATTTTAAGAATCTGTTATCAATGACTATAGCCAATTTCATGTAACTTTTAGAACTTAAAAATTCACATATCCAACTTTCTGTTAGTTTTGATTTATCATTCTAACTTGAGAACAAAATAAAATATTGTCTCTGCTTCCCATTTGCTGGTTAGCACATTTCAGTCCATTACCCTGTGAAAATAGTGAGCCCATCTAGGGTCCTTTGAAGAGGAAATTAGGGGAACAGATTTGATTGTGTTATATGAGTTATTGTTATTTTCAGTTACTGCTCTGGCTCAAAAGCAGATAATAAAAAGACCTAAGTTGACACATGAGTGAAAAAGAATAACAATGTCGTGACAGGTAGAGCAACTGAAGGAGGAGCTAAATTCGAAAGAGGCTCAAGGGGAGGAGCTGAAAAAGAGAGCGGCTGGTCTTCAGGCCGAGGTCTTTGCCGTAAGATTTACCCTTTGCGTGCAGTGATCCCACAGTGGGACACTGCTGCTCTGGCTCTGGGTGCTCACACTTTCACTCTGTGGTCGGCAGCTTTGCCTGGTACTAGCACTAACCAGCCTGCTCTGCTCTTTAACCGACTCCTGTTCACCCGTTTGACCCACGTGCCACCCTGTGTGCAGCGAGCCCTCATGTGCTCTGGAAGCCCTGTCCCTGGTTTTTTATTGTTGCTTTGTCCCTGTGTGGATGGTGCTTCAAAGCTGTTTTTTCTCGACTCCTTTCCTGTTACCAGAAACTTGTTGATTTACGTGAATGGTCTCTTTCTCTTCTTAGGTACAAAGAATGTGCAGATGTTCTAGGTCCATCACCCAGCGTTTATTTCAATCTGATTTCTTGAGTGAAGTGCTTTACCTTCATATGTAGGCATCATCTTTAAGTCCCCGATAGGTGATTTTGCAACACATTTTACTTTCTTTGGAACGAACAGATGTATTGAAGCGATTAGCTCATTTAGTTAGCTAGTAAATTAGAAGTAGCATGAAACTTAAAGTCTCTAAATCTATTCAGTAGCTCAATCATCTGTCTAGAGAACTTGAAATTCCATTTCAAGCTGTGATAAAATGATTATAATAAAATAGCTAACACTTGAGTACTTACTATAAGCATTTTATAACCTACTAAGGTAGGTATATTCTCAACCCAATTTATGGATAAGGAAGCTGAGGTAACACAGTGGTGCTCAGGAAACACAGTTAGTAAGAGGCAGAGTTTGAGTTTTACACAAGCCATTTGGTTCCAGAACCTGTGCTGGTAAACTCTGCACTCCACTGCCCTATACTAGGCTGTGCACACATTTGTCTCACAAGTGTCAGGAAGAAAACTGCTTCTGAAAATTACGGTAGGATAAGACTAGAATGCAGCATTAAAAGAAAAAAAAAAAACCACTTGTGCTAATTTAGTGTTTACTATTTATGGCCCACTTTATGGTATAGATAGAAAAGTGAGATATTTTGTCTAAAAGGGTCCAGTTTGGTTTGTTGTAACCATGTATTGTCTAGAGGAGAAGTTGATCTATAACTTTTTTTTCCTCAGCTAGTAATATTAATTTCTTTTTGTGTCGAACAACAGGCTAAACATTCTATACAGTTTTTTTGTTTAATCTGTATGCAATACAGTGGCACTGGTTTGCTTTCTCCATCTTACTGATTAGGAAAGCAAGGCTTAGAGAGGTAGTTATCCAAGAAGACACACTCATTCGTTCTCACGTGGGATTGACTGCAAAAGCCTTATGCTCCTAAATTTTTTTTTTTTTTTTTTTTTTTTTTTTGCAGTACGCGGGCCTCTCACTGTTGCGGCCTCTCCCGTTGCGGAGCACAGGCTCCGGACGCGCAGGCTCAGCGGCCATGGCTCACGGGCCCAGCCGCTCCGCGGCATGTGGGATCTTCCCGGACCGGGGCATGAGCCCGCGTCCCCTGCATCGGCAGGTGGACTCTCAACCACTGAGCCACCAGGGAAGCCCTAGGTTCCTAACTTTTAAGGAAAATTTGTTCTTCTAAACTCTTCTGTTTAGGATATTTTCTTCTTTTTCTCAGTCTTTATGGTCAGTATAGCATTATTTGATGATTATTTAGTAATGCAGATGATGAGGAAACTGAGATTTTATATTTATTTTTGATCACATGGTCCAGAGGTAGCTGGAAATTTGAGTAATCTTTAAGCCATAGTTCTTTAGCTGATGAGGTGAGAACATTTTGAATGTTTCTCCTGACTATTCATACCACAAGTGCGTTTTTAGTGCATTCTGTTTGTTAGGGGTGGGACGTTGGTAAAGGGATGTCATGAAAGGTGCTACACCATTACAGTATGTGGCAGCTCCTGGGTACGTATCTGTGTTACAGGATGGAGGTAGCTGCTGTTTACAGCTATCTTCCACTGATGTCCTTAGCAGCTGCAAGTATTTTGCATACAGTGAGCACACAGAAATGTTTGTTGAATGAATGAATATTATATTTGTAAGTAGAGATTTCATGCATATGAGAAAAATGCTTGTCTTCCTGCTG